TTTTTATCAAAAAGAGGAGAAATCATTTCAGATCCAATGTATGTTTTTGGTATCTGCAAAATATGTTTCCTGATTTGTTATTTTAGTTCAGTATTGTGCCAGTAGGTAGCAGAACATTGTTTAACAACAATTAATGCGTTTTTTTTAGTTTCCAAAGCAGTGACTATTTCCTATCCAGGAATCTGGAAATGATATGTCCTTCCTCTTTAAGAAGAACACAAGTAAAATATTAAGTATTTGGATATAACATTGATATAGACAAATATAAGTGATGGCCATACACATTTAGCATGGAGAGCATCTTTTTTTATCTGCGAATGGAATATTTTTATTTAATCCAGAAGGTTGCAAAAATCTTTATTTTATTTTTTTCACAACTTTGTTAAGTGGTGTTAAACAACGTGTTCCTTAAGAAACAAGTGCAAAAATGTCTGGTCCAGCTGGCAGATCATCATTATTATTATTATTTTCTAATTTTAAAATGTGAATTTTGGGGGATCCCTGTGGTCTCAGATGTACATCATTTGATAGCAGCATTCCCAGTTATCAGCTGGGAATCTTTGTTGCATATCACTCTCCTGCTCTCTCTCCTAGTGTTTCCTGTCTAAAAATAATAATCCACATCATTATGTGCAACATTTCAGGAACAAAATATATTTACTCAGATTCTGTACAAGTTTTAGGTATGTGATTTTGTACTTTATTTATTTTCATGCCACATTATACTTCTACACCCCTACATATAGGAGAATATCATAGGTTTTACTCTATGTTTACACTACATTTATTTAACAGCTATAGTTCCTCCTAAAGATTAAACTACCCAAATGTATATAGAGTTCAAATTCATTGACAGTAAGTACATTTACTTTTGTTTCTTTGATTAAATTTAGCTAATAATACTTTTTTATTTCAAGTACAATTTTGAAAGCAGAACTTTATTTTGCAGTACTTTTACAGCGTGGTATTGCTACTCACAGATGTTCTTTAACAATTTAGAAAAGGGGGTGTTGAGCAGGTGCAGTTTTCAGTTTTACTTCGCCTTTCTTTAGTCTAAAATTAAGAGGGGACAATGAACACTAGTGATCTTCTCACAGGAACTATTTCTCCTGAAAGTAGTGTGGTATATCCAGACTATAGGTGAAAGTGCAAGCTGCTATTGAGTTTTTCAAATGTAATTTTTCAAAGCTTTACGCCCCACAAATTCTCTCCATATCCTCCATTGCACTGGCGTGGCTACAGAAATCCCAGAGGAGGATTTCTCACAACGTGGACAAATAAAACCAAAAACTAAATGCATGAAATCGGTGAAAAATATATTTTCCATCTTTTTGTAATGTGGGTGAACTGATCCATTAACAAGAGAAACCTCAGATAATCAAACCTGGGATGGACAGATAATAATTCATCACAATCATCCACAAAACATGCAAAATTCAAATTCAAAGTCAAACATACTGACCCAACAAAATATGTGATGATGAACAGCTGTACGATCCGGTTGATGATGCCCACAGACCAGCTCTTGACCACCACAGACTTGGTGGTCTCATAGGTGAAGAAGTCGGTGATGCAGCCACTCAACCAGGAGCTCATGGCTGCTTGTCAGAGAGCGGGGACGGGTCAGTCCTCCTGAGTCTGAGAGGAAAGTGCAACTCTTGTCCAGCCTCAACAGGTGCCTTCAGGGAGGTGTAAAACAGTTTGAATGTCAATCACTCCAGATTCTAATGTGGTCTTAATCTTCACACTGGTCGGGTCTTTCACTCTTCTGTGTGGCCCGTGTTCATCTGTCTCACTGCACATTTGATGGTCAAACCTCTGTGTCTCTCTCCTCTATCCTATTTCATTGGTTTATGACACAAACTGGACCTCCCCTTCCTTTACTTCCTCCCTCTTTCTCTTTCTGTTTTCACCACAAATCCCCATCTCCCATACCTCTTTTCTCTCACAGTCTCTTATTCCAGCTGTGTATCTTTGAAAACATTCACAAACATGTACAAACAATTTTCATTTGCTCCGGACACATTAGTGAATCTTCTCAGTGGGTTTTTGACACTTACACTACCATCACTTCATTCATATTTCAGTGTTAGTGACTGAATCTTACCAAACCTGATCATTTCACTCACTTCAAGGACACAATGTCTACAGCTGTTCAATAATAGCAAGATACAAAATAAAGATAATGGCTAGGTTTGTGCATTGTATTACCTGTTTATTTGGTTAGTTTATTTACTGGTTTATTTGGCTCTTTAACAGGCTTTACTATAAATGGGAGAGGGTTAGTCAAAAGGTAAGTTTTCATCTTGTCAGATGTTACACAGGTGTCCTAAAGACAAAAGAAGTATATTAGTTCCCTGCTATATCAGCTGGGTCCTTTGTGAGGATTCAATCTAAGATCACGCTGTCTTTTACAAAATCTGAATTAGCTTTTAACATATTCCTTTACAAAGCGAAATGGAAAAGTCCGTCCTTCTAGTCAGCTGTACGACCAGCTATGATCATATACCAGAAGGCCTGCACATGATATAATACACTGTTGGCCAATATTAGCTTATTGTAGATGTATCTCTCTATGTGCTAACCAATAAGTAACATTAAATTACAATTCAAGATGCTAAATATTATTAATACATTTTGGTGCAATATGTCAAATTCATTCTGTAGCTACCATTAGCTAGTTAGCCGTGCAGCTAGAGGCCATATTAGCTGTCTTTGTCATCCACTGTCACCACCCAAAATGAGTTGGTTTAGTGGATTTTATACTAAGTTATATCAAGAATTGCCTTTTTTCATGAACCTGACCATTGCTGGCTGATTGTGTTTTTATGTTTCTTGTAGCTCTTGCAAAAAGTTCCAAGTTTTGTTGACAGAGAATTGAATAAATGTATCTGAAGACTATTGACTACACCAACAACCAGTCGGGTTTCCTATTTGTAACACTAAAGACGAGACATATTGGAAGCCAATCAGGACATCTGAGATCCATTTATGGTTTTTAGAAACGAGCTGTGAAAACCTCTGAAAATGTCACAACATAACTAACACTCAAATGTTCAATTTGTCTCCAATAAACATAATTTTATTCATTTACGTACATCAACAGGACAGAAAAAAGAAATCGGATTGTATACTTACAGGGCCTTATAAGAGGCTTGAGTTTAAATGCACAGTAATAAATTACAAACTATGGCATTATTGGCAAGTGTGCAATAATTGCGACATACGATACGACCACTTCTCAATACACTCACGAGCACCGACAACATTATTGCCTCTCACATCAGGGAGATAATGTAATGTAGCAATGACAGAGAGTGTGCGTGTGTTTGTGTGGATGTATGTGCCTAGAGACCATGTCATTTCTTAAGTGGGTCCATTATGTTTGTGGTCAATTAATGGTAACCTAATACAAAGACAAAATACACACATGCACACTTTGGACATGCGAACAAGCACACAAGCTTTCAGGTTGCAAGTGACTGTAACGTTTATCAGACACACTGTATGTATGCATTCCTGCAATGGTTAATGGTACCGTGAAACATATACATTTACGAATACGAGACACTATTTGTCAGATCGTAGATGAACATGAGGAGGGAGTGGAGGATTGTCAGATGGGTATCGATTGTGAAAAGGAAGGCTTCACATTCACACTCGATCCATTTTTGACCACTACATTTAGGACATGCCAGAACATAAACATCCCGAGATCACGTGAACACAATCTCACACATACTCAAACCACAAGAAAGAGAGCCTGCACAGTGTCCATCAGTCAGCTCTGGTACAGTTACACTTTACACAGTGATGGTTGGTCGGCTGCTTTGGTCAAAACTGAAATAGATTTTTCTCAACAACTTCTGGGTGGATTACCGTTTAATTTGGTTTAGATATTCAAGTAATCACTGTCGATCCCGACTTTTCACCGACCACTCTCCGGTCAACAATTTGTCCAGTACTTTTTGGTTTTTGACCACAACTATTCCCATCAGCCTCAGCTAGCTATATACGCTTGTTTTCCCAAGAATGCTTCAAAATAAAACTTAGAAAAGAAGGTGCAGTGGGAATTAGGGAAACTGAGGACACAGGGAGATCTTTGAGCTCAAATACATTCAAAAGGCTCCATGGAAAAAAAAAATGTATTTACAAAATGTCACATGTAACTGACAGTAAATACAATGGGTCATTCTCAGTTCATCCAGCCAACCGTACTGCAGCAGGAAGAGTACCTTATCATCAAAACCAACACTGTCCAAATGGAAGTGAATCACACATCCGGTAGTGTTTGGCTCTTAAAAACCACCCTCTTCAACCCTAATATAGCAGCCCTTTTACAAACCACTGGGTACTCAGGCCTCAGTCTCCCTGTTTGAAACCACTGTCTCTCAAACATTCACCAGTGTCCACATCTACCAACCCTGATAACACACACTCCCAAACCACCTTGCCTGGTTAAATGGGTCTGACGAGCAGTGTGGATAGGACTCATTTGGGAATTCCCTAAGACTACAGCGAGATAGGTAATGTAAAGAATCTCCGTCCATGGACAGAGTTTGGAAGAATATGGAGAACGGGATTTTAGTCTTGCTTGTTTTTATATGGTATGATTTGAAAAATAACTGACTCACAGGACTGTGGTTCAAAATTGACCTTGAAAATAATTCACAAAACAATCTCACCAAAGGTCCATTTAGTGTTTTAGTAGACAACTTATTTTACATGTTAGATAAAATATTAAGGTTCAAAGTTCATTATCTGAATTTAAACTTAAAAAAACAAATCATTTAATTTAATAATTCTACTTGTTAATGTCTATTTACTTCTGTCTGTTGATGCACAAACACACAATCCTGAGAAGTTAAAAAATATGGAAATGCCAACAGTATATAGGTGCACCCAGGGTTTGCTTCATTAACAGCTAACATAAAAACTTAAAGCTGCTTTCTATTAACACCAAGTAGTATGATACCAAAGACAAACAGCAAAGAAAGGAATTATTAAAAATGAGTCATTTATTTAATTAAGCCTCAAAACAAACATGACATTGCAAAACACAAAAAAACAAACACTTATATGCAGTTTTTAAATGCTTCACACAGGAGGAACAAAATGGCTTTGCATCTCCTCTCTGCCTCTTCCACATTAATCAACTAATACCTCCTCATTGCTATAAAACTACAACAACCATCCCCATGGGTAAAAATGGGAAAAAAAACAAAAAACCCCTTCAAGAATTCTGGGAAATGAGGCACACCGCCATTTCACTGAGCCATCAAGTAGGAAAAGCCGCTCGAATATCAAATATTACTTGAGCTTTTAGAATCAGTCACAAGATGTGTTTGTACTCCTGAAACAAACATGTAGAAGAAGAAAAATACAACTCAAGTCCGTTGATTTGTCGGTCAGTCCATCTGTGTGATCTCAACATAGAGAGTATAAATGCTTGGTCCTTGGTTTGTGTGTACGGTGTGGGTGTGTGTGTGTGTTTAGTCAGACTCTTCCTCTGAACTGGCAGGTGTGGACACGGCCTCTTCCTCGTCGGATTCCGGCTAAAAAAAATAAATGAAGGCGATAAGTATGTTTGTATTGTAGTAAGAAAAATATAATATCATCAGAAATGCATATATTATTGGATGTTTTATCTCCCAAAACAGCAATATCAATATCAATTAAAACAAAATGCAGTATCTGATTATAGCTGCATCTCAGTCGAATTCATTTTATAGATACGCAGGACTTGCTCTGTCTCACACTCTCATACATTATCTCTCCACCTTTCGAGCTACAGTACAGGGCAGCACAGTGCAACATATAGACTGATCAACCATAACACGATGACCACCTGGGCACCCTGGCGGTCATCAAGTTATAGCTGCAGCCCCATACTCAACAAACTGTGATGCACTGTGCGTCCTGACACCTTTCTATCAGAACCAGCATTAACCTTTTCAGCAGTTTGAGCTACAGTAGCTTATCTGTTGGATCGGACCACACGGACCAGCCTTCGCTCCCCCCTGTACATTGAGCCTCGGCCCATGACCCTGTCTCTGGTTCACCGCTTTTCCTTCCTTGGACCACTTTCTGAAACGCTCTCGATTTGAAGGATTTGAAGAGGCGCTGATCACAGAGCCGAACCGTGTGAATTTAAAACACTCACAATTTAACTCAGTTAAAATAATCTCTGCATCGACCTGTAATGCAAACTTAGGAGTGGTGGAAAACAATGCTGCACAATAACGCTTGTATCACTACAAAAATCTATATTCATATTCAGTAAACTGATTCACTGCAGAGTGGTGTCGCACAGACGAGGATGAATATCTTAATGCATTTAGCTGCAGCCTCTTTGATAATCACATTAACCATTACTGCCTTTACCTTCTTCCTCTTGGACTTGGAGCTCTTGTGGTCAGAGTCTGATGAACTCTCGCTTGTCTCGATGAACTCTCGACTCTTGAAGCTGTCGTTGCCTCCTCCCCGCTCCTTTTCCTTATCTGCACCTGCAGACTTCCTCTTCTTCTCCTCCTTCTTACCTGCAGATTTTTTACTCTCTCTAATGGGTGAAGGGTGGGAAGAAAGTCACTTATAAGACTCGTACTGTATCAAGAGAGGAAAAAAATGTGTGTGTGTGTTGCGAGTCTTACTTCTTGGAACTGGAGGCTGATCCTCCTCCGCCGCCGCCGCTCTCTGCGTACTCTTTCTTTGCTTTGTCATATTGTCTCTTCGCCTCTCCTGCCTTTATTTCCCACTCCTGAATGAAACAGAAGCATGAATGTGTAAAAGAAGAGAATAAATAAAACGGCACAGGACAAAGACTGCACACATTGTCTGGGTTTGTTGACACACTGTTCTTTTATTGCACTTTAAAGCTGTTTGATATGATCATTGTTTCATTGCTTTCTATAACTAAATGTATTTAGACATATTCACATATACGCCGGTACCCTACAAATAATGATAAGAATAATGATCGGTATTGCATTGATTTAAAATCTAAGAGTCACTCCGATGAATGCAGAGAAAATTGTTTTAGGAGCAAACGTTGATATAAATTTTACATTTCAAACACAACTTAAATTAATTTACTTAATTTTGCAATTTAAAATGACATTAAACTATTTTAAAAAGTACTTCTTAGGTTAGTCAGACACAATCTTGATGACACCAAGAGTAACACTGAGTGCAGAGAAAAAAGCTGTAGAAACTGAGTAATGTTTGAATTTTAAATGTAAAAAAAAAAAAAAACCCCAACTTCCTAGTAAATCCACATCCCTCTAAATTTAACTGATTACAACCTACGGCTTCATATTTTGCTTTTATAGCATTCTATGGTCAAAGATACACAATGAACACAATGGTAAAACGCTAAAAAACTAATTCCTGTAAGGTTAAATATCTAGTGTTGTAAGAGAACAGGAGTAAAACTAAAGCTAATTCTCTCTCCTCCTCCTCCTCCTCCTCCTCGTTCTCCTGCCTTACCTCCTTCTCGTCTTTGCCCAGTTGTCTCCACATCTCTCCAGCCTTCTTGGATATCTCTGTGATGGAGATACCTGGGTTCTCCGACTTGATTCGCTCACGGCTTGAGTTGAGCCACAGCATGTAGGCACTCATCGGCCTCTTGGGACCGCCAGTATCTTTCTGCTTCTTCTACTCCGATTGAAGATAAGAAGAAAATTGACAGGTAAATGTGTGCAATTATACAAGTTTATATATATTTGTCTTTCCCTTTTTTCCCGGTCCCAACTGCTCTCGCACCTCTTTGCGTGGTTTCCGTTCTTTTTTCTCCTTCACCACTTTGGCTTTTTTGGCCTTCTTCTTCTTTGCACTGTCATCTTCGCTATCATCCCCATCTTCGCTGCTGTCGCTCGCCGAGGCATTGCTGTCGTATCTGAGTGACAGAAGGAGAAACAGAACGGGAAAAGTTTAGCCAGCTGGGTGAAAGAAGTCTGGGTGACATGAAAAAAAAAAAAAAAAACTTCCAAGAAAAAGGAAAGTCTCAAACAAATAGCAATCTTAAGCAAGGGTCACTCACTCTTCTGCAATGTCATCATCTTCTTCTCCGGGGTTGAACGACTCATCTAAAGAGCGAAACAGGACAGAAAATCAAACCCACTGATCTTCTGAACTCAACATGCTTTGACTGCTTCTGTCACACTGGGACCTTTACTCACCACTTTCGCCATCTGATTCGTCCGTGTCGTTGCCCTCCTCTCTGATCTTGCCCTCAGCCTTCATCCTCTCCAGGTAGGCATCGTGCTGGTCATCGTCTGAGTCACTGTACTCGTCAATTTTACCCTTCATGCCCTGAAATTAAACTGCAGGTCAGCAACCAAACCAACACTTCCCACAACACAGCAAAGCCATAGGAGAGTCTTCCATGACCTACTAACAGTCAGGCAAAGCTCATTTTAATACAATAAAATAATTTAATGGCTGCAATTAAGCATTGCTTTCATAATTGATTAATCATTTGGTCAATAAAATGTAATCCCAATTTCACAGAGCTGATCGTTTTCACACAGTTTAGTGCAACATTACACATACACTGCTACTACAAAATACTAAAGGTCTTTGTTGAGACTGTTATCTGTAAAACCAATCTATTTTCTTCTCCTCCCATGTGGTTTTTCCCATCTTCATGCATCAATATCTGCGTCTGCCAGGGACAGACAGACAACAAGTCACGGAGGCTCTTATTAAAACAACAGGAAATGGAGAGCAGGCCCATTCATTGTCATTGACCCACTCTGCTGACCCTGTCTCCATGGGCAACAGATGGCCTCGTAAACAGCAAAACAGAGTTGGTGCTTCGAATGTGTTGTCAGGGTGACCAGGAACTTGTATATTTCAAGAGACAGCATTAAGGGTAATGCAATCAGCACTGCCTATGTCAGGCAGTGGTCATGATGGCAGCTGTGTCGAGTGTTAAAGCACACCAAAAGCCCCCAGGCCACACATTAGTCAGCACGATGCAAACAAACGCACACACTCAGTCATCAGTCCCACACTCCTTCACCCTCCATTGTCCCATGATTAGTCATAAATCACTCAGAATTTATCAACACCAAATCGTACTGGTCATGTCCAACCAAAATCAAGATTATAGGACACAATCTTCAGTAATACACCCATACAGCAGCACGCCATGCAAGCAGAAATCACTCCACACCGATAAAAATCAAGCTTTTATCCACACGTGACGCCCTTGACCATACCCACCTTCTTCTACAGGGGTACAAGGACAGACACACAGGAGAAGGGCAACAAACATCAATATCTGGGATTGAAGTCTGACAAAACTCATGTAATATCTTTGCTTACAAACTGGAAGTTTAAATGACAAATGATTTACCTCTTTGAATCCTCTGTTCTTGATGTTGAGCTTCTTGGCGTTAACGAAGTCAAACAGTTTGCCGTACTCTTCTCTAAAGGGACGGAGAGAAAAATCTGTGTCACCAAAAAACCCTGAAGAGATCATGAACATGAACTAGGCAGGAATTTCATCTGAGGAGACCTTTCCATTCTGAATCTGGTTCCTCTATGATCCATGTGAACAGATCAAAACCAGAATGAGTGTTGGGATGCTGGTGTGCATGCAAACGTGACGGAGTTTCTGTGTCCTGACCTCTCAATGCTGCTGAAGGTGTACTGATTTCCCTGCTTGGTCTCGATCTCAAAGTCAAAGGATCTGGTTGTGGTGGTGCCTCGGGCGAAGTTGACGCAGGAGATCTCCTCGAAGCGCAGGTGTACGGGGGGCTTGTGGACATAGATGAATCCCCTCTCCAGAGGGTAGAGGAGGCCTGACGACGCCTTGTAGGAGCAGGTGATGCACTGAGCCCCAGAGTGACTGCGGAAGAACGAGGCACGTTTAACTGGATCTAATTAACTATATGACTAAATGTGTTTTGAGTGTGTCTATTAGGTGCTTACCCCTGGAAGTTTCCAGGCACAGTGATCTTGCGGTTGACCAGGGCCTTCATCACCCTACTGACCATCTCATACAGAGACCCTGACATGTTTTTACTGAGTTTACCCTCAAAGCGGCGCTCCACGTCTTCCCTGAAAGCACATAAAGGAAAGTACAGGTTTAATGTCATTACATTAAACACTTGCACACGTTTCTGGTATTTGTAAGAGTCAATGCAAAGAACAGAAGAAGTTACTGGTGCCACCGTAAACACATTCAATGACTCCTCCAGACATTTGCCTCCCTCTAGTGGATAAACGCTTTACAACAGCAAAAACTGTAAACTAAACACACACTGGGCTTGTGTTACCATTAAGTTAGATTACGGTAAGAGGGGACCGTCTTGCATTACCAATACAACAGGCTAATATTGCACTTGGCTACACGCAGCCCATAAGATCAATATGTCCTTTACTGTCACATACTCACTCGCTCATGTTGAGGGTGAGGTTAATGTCCTCTTCCTTGGAGAAGAGCAGGATGAGGAAGTGATAACGCGTCTGACCCTGCTTGATGGGAGGATCCAGGCTGATCTAGTGAGACAACATAAAAATGAGAAAGAAGAGTATGAGTAGGGGGAAAAAAAAGGTTATTTTGGGTCCAAAACTATAAATAAAATTATGACAGAAAAAGGCACAAAAGTCCACTTACAACAAAGAACATCTGCCTCTGGTCCTTGTGTGGCAGCAGGAATAGACGGAGGACGGTGGTGTAAGGAATCTTGTAGTCAAAGGTCTTACCATGGAGGTGAAGGAAAGTCGGGTAGATGCGGATGTCATATCTGAGTGAGGAAGAATAAATAAGAGAGAAGTTCAGCTAAATTCTTAAGTAAGGTGAATTGTGTAAAAAGAATGAGGACATTTGTGAGCGGCTTTATTTTGTGTGTGTTGATCCTCTACCTTCCTCTGGGTGTAAGACACTGCAGCTCTTTGAATATACAGACGGCGTCTCCTGTGGCCTGGATCACATCAGCCTTAGACAGCACACTCTGGGCAAACGCCTGCAGGAGATCACACACATTTAGCACCATTATCAACAAAGATCAAAATAAACAATCAAAAGTAAAAAGTAAAGTAGCCCATCCTTCCTCACCTCGACCGGGTCTTGTCGTTCATCAGACTGGCTGGGCGGGACGTAGAATCGGACCTCCATGAGGGAGACCTCTGTGTCGTCATTCTGGTGAAACTCCAGAGTGACTTCGTTCTTCCCCGTGGCGCACTGGGACACATTGGACAGCGGGATCTCGAATGCCGAATTGTCATTTACGTCAAACGATAACAGCGGCCCTATGGTGGGAGAGGGAGTGAGAAATCTTTAAAAAATAAAAAATAAATCACTAACATGCTATTATTATAGAACCATTTAGTTGTTAAGGAGCAAAATTAGGGTCAGCCAAGGAATAAAGGCTTTCAAATTCTAAATAAAAGCTATGTAATGATCTCAGCGCCTGAGAAAACTTTTGGTGGGTCTGATCTTTACAGATCATTTGGTTGTTAAAAAATAAATGTAGAATCGTCGATTAATCGTTGTTTGATAGATAATTGGCTACTATTTTAACAAACCGATTAATCATTTAGCATTTGTGAAGCCAAAATGACATTTGATGGTTTTCAAATGTGAGACAAGGTAGTAAACTGAATATTTTTGAGTTTGGACTGCTGGCTGCATTTTTAACTATTCTTTTTAACTTTATAGACAATATAATTACACTAGTATACATTAGTACGATGATCGTGTGCTAAAACTAATCTGGCTATAGTGTACCGGTGAGGACATTCTGGTTGTTGTGTTTTTACCTGAGAACTTTGCTGTTCCCCAGTTCCATCCTTTCACACACATGTCCTTTTCTGTCAGCTCCAGCTTGTAATTAGACTTGAAAAAGTCAGAGATCTTCTCAAAGTCCTGATGGATGTAAGAGGGGTAACAGAGAGGCAGGGAGACACAACATAAAGCAGAGAACCAAGTTGACAGGAGAGGAAGTGATGAAAAAAGAGGTGGAGGGGGGTGAAAAAGAAGAAGGCTTCAAGTTAGCAAGGCACGCTGGCACTGCATGGGTCAAAGCTAAGAAAAACACCCTCCAAAAAAAAGGGGGAGGGGATGGAGGGCTAATTAATCACAACGCAATAATAATTGCGCCCGCCGCTGAGGCCCTGTGGGATCACTGGAGGTGAACGTAATCCATCCGCCTGCTCTGTCCTCCTCCCCTCCACACTGCCGCTGACAATCAGCCTGTTTATTTATCCTGCAGGCCTGCTTACAACTGGAAAGGACACACTCACTCACATACAGCGACAAACACACGGTCAATCACACAAACACACACAGGCACTGTCCTAGTAGTACACACACACACATGTGGAAGTGATTGTGGTGTGCGAGTGTGTGCAGGGTAGAGAATGAGACTCTGTGGGAAACAGAGTTTACGCACCTGGATATCTGCCTGTCCATAAGGTTATTACAGCCAATTAGAGAGTGAGAGAGTGAGAGTGTGTGTGTGTGTGAGTGTGAGTGTGTGTGAGTGAGAGAGTGAGAGTGTG